ATACAATGATGGAGCGCACAGGGTGGAGGTGAGAGATGTCCTCTTGGTCCAAGGAGTGGGGTTGTGTGTGTGGACAGTGGAGACGAGGAGAAGCAAGCTCAACATGACCTCAGGCTATGTGACATAAAAAACTAAAGTTGCTGAGTTTTGAATAAAACAAATCAGATTTTTGTCTGTATTCATGATGCAAATGAGGACATTTTATGTAATTTACAATCAACAAGGTGACATTAGTGTGTTGAAAGTGAACTTATTTTAGGATTTTCACAGTTCTATCTTGACATTTCTCCAACAATCTACTCGAACATTGGGTCATGGCAGGGTTTTTCTTAACGACGTCATTCAGGATCAGCTTTGCGGCACAACCAGGTGTCACAAATCAGCTTAAAGACTGACATAAGAATTACTTCTACACTTCACTTAAAGTAAGACTGAGACGCTTGATAACTGATTTTTACTCTCAGCTTTKAACTAAGAATTTTTTTACACTTAAGTCCACTCTTAGCAGTATTCTTAAGAGTAATTCTAAGAAGTTGATAAATACAGACTCTGATCATCAAAATATTGTTAAATGAGGTTATTTACTTGTATGTAAACTTACAATATGCTGTACTGTCTTAATCAGTTGCAGGGAAACAAGGAGCTATGTGAAGAAGAGAAGGCTGTTGTTCGCTCCGTGACTTTGCGTTGGGACCTGCCTGGAGTCACAGAAAATAACTGGTTATGGTTGAGAGAAAAAAAATACTACTTCATGCTGTAAGTTTATCTATGTGCAGTAAGAGAATGCATAATGACGATTTTTACAACTCTTATATTGTAAAMTKTGTTATTCRTACYATGCCATGTAAGTTTCCAGTTATACAAGTAATTTCTAAATACTTGTGATTGCTGCTTTAACTGAAAACCATAAATTAACTGCTAAGGAAACACTTTTTAAGTATCCATATAAATTCCCATGTAGATCCTCTAAAGCACAAATTTGAGGGGAAAAAATAAAGTTTCATACCCATAGACACAGGAGCTCAATTTGTACAATTGCCTCTCWCCAAGAATGYCACCAMATAAATTCCCAGCCTGGAGACCTWTCTGGGAAGAGTTTGCATGTCCTGTATGTGCATGTAGTGCCTTCACAAACTCCGGCTTCCTCCCACACATGAAAAACATGACTGTTAGATCAATTGGTCAATTTAAATTGTCCCTAGGTGTGAGTGGTCATTTGTCTATGGCCTTCACCTGCCCAGGTGTGCCCGGCTCCTTGCACTGTGACTGCTGGATAATTGCTCTGGGGGCCACAGTTAATACAGGCCAACAGCACAGGGGCTGAACATCTAGAAGTTAGTCATTATGTAAATATGCCAAGTACTACAAAATCAAATATCTTTAGAAATACATAATTTTGCTGCATTTAATCATATGTACAACATACAGAACCCTATGTGATAAAATTAGCGAACACAATATCAAAATTAAAAAATAACACATGACTCCTATTTAACCGAAATATTTTGACATCTGACTTGCCAAATTTTTAAACAAATTTTATTTTCACTTTCATCATTTTATCTTCAACTGCTTGTAGTTTTAACTGTCTTGAACATTTACAGAAATGGTTTTTACCAGCTTCTATTTAAGATTCTGACATTTCTGTAGGTACCACATGTCTATGTTTAACCAAACAGAGTAATTAAAGTAGAAAACCGAGGGTTTGGGCTTAAGGGATAAATTAATCAATTGGTGGGCTGAACTTTGGTCATTTGCTGCGGGCCAGTAGTTGAATGGCACATGGGTAAAAGATAATGATTGGATGGAAGGGCTTATTTCACACGGTTCTTTCTTACAGGTTTTTGGACGGACAACCCAGCAAGTAAAACACATAACAAGAGGTCTCAAAGATGCTTCCATCTGGGAATTTTTCAGTTCAAGGCCAGATGCTGTGAAGGTTTTGTTCCCAAGAGCATGTGACGCGCACATTACACCACAGGTACTTCAACTCACATTTGAATAAAAAAAAAGGTCCTCTAGTAGTTTGTCAGGGTGGTGGTAGCACATACAGCAGATCATGTGACCCATGTACAGTCAGTCCATGAAGCATCCATACTTGTTGCAGTTTTATTCTTTTGGTTCAAAAATTTACCTTTATGCATTTTTAGGTCATTTTGGACAACATTAACWGGCCAAGAGATGAGGATGTTGATGAAGACATTGTATCCCTCAGTGRTCACAGCAGAATCATGGGTTATCTCCAAAGATTCATAGAGAGAGGTTCATTTATTTCATCATTATAATTTTCATTTGATATGCTGTGATTTTTGTCTTTGTTACAGGTAAAGTATTTATATTTTTATGAGTTACCATTTCTTATTTGTGCTATAAGGTACCTCTGATGTGTTGAGTCTCCTCACCTTCTGGACTGGCTGGGATGTATTGTCTTCAAACGTGGAGGTTGAAGTCATTGACTGTGCTCTTCCTCAGGCCTCTACCTGCTTCTTTMCACTGAAGCTTCCAAAAAACTCACTGAACTATGAAGAGTTTTGTCTAAACCTTATGGCCAGCATGTCGTCATCATATTCTGGTTTTGGCCAGATTTGAGCTTTACAGAAAAAACTGTAAAAAGTAGTGGAGGAAATAACTACCACAGAGCATGGTTATGGGTTATGTTGTGCAAATGTACTTCTAAATGTTATAGTCATAAGTTTGCTTAGAAGCAACTTCGTTACAAAAAAAGATTCACATGTTCAGTTTGTTAAACACAGCACCACTTGTCATTCAGATGAATTATGAAGCAGGTGTGAATTTAAAATTACCTGAAATCCTAAATTATAATGCATGTTATTAAAGCATAAAATATTGACCACTTGCATACTCTGCCTCAAGAGAAAATTTAGCTTAAAGGCAACACAGTGGTTGATGAAAATGTTTCTTCCTATCTCAAGATTTGTTTCTTTAGAGCCAATTTCTTAATTTTTACATACTGGAACAAATGAGAGCTAAGTGAGTAACTTCANGAGTCTCCTCACCTTCTGGACTGGCTGGGATGTATTGTCTTCAAACGTGGAGGTTGAAGTCATTGACTGTGCTCTTCCTCAGGCCTCTACCTGCTTCTTTMCACTGAAGCTTCCAAAAAACTCACTGAACTATGAAGAGTTTTGTCTAAACCTTATGGCCAGCATGTCGTCATCATATTCTGGTTTTGGCCAGATTTGAGCTTTACAGAAAAAACTGTAAAAAGTAGTGGAGGAAATAACTACCACAGAGCATGGTTATGGGTTATGTTGTGCAAATGTACTTCTAAATGTTATAGTCATAAGTTTGCTTAGAAGCAACTTCGTTACAAAAAAAGATTCACATGTTCAGTTTGTTAAACACAGCACCACTTGTCATTCAGATGAATTATGAAGCAGGTGTGAATTTAAAATTACCTGAAATCCTAAATTATAATGCATGTTATTAAAGCATAAAATATTGACCACTTGCATACTCTGCCTCAAGAGAAAATTTAGCTTAAAGGCAACACAGTGGTTGATGAAAATGTTTCTTCCTATCTCAAGATTTRTTTCTTTAGAGCCAATTTCTTAATTTTTACATACTGGAACAAATGAGAGCTAAGTGAGTAACTTCATTGAACATATTTGTAGTTATTGAACAGGTTTTACTCTATTAAACAGCATCTTTTTCTCCTGGCAGAAACTCAACATATTGGACTGTTAATTTGTATGCCCAATATTTATAAACTACTTAACTAGTTAACTGCTTGACAGTTGTCTGTCCTATCAGATACTGTATGTTACTGTAACTACATTTAAGGTTTAATAAAAAGGTATTTCTCTGAACTTTCTAGCAACTTCTTTCCAGAAATGCAATGTAAACAAAATATCCAACATGTAAATGAAACTGCACCACAGGCATTAGTGAAACAACTAATCAGTATGGTGACATGACAGGCTTTCAGCAGTATTGTGTGGTGTGAACCAAGCATGAATTATGAAATGGACATGTTTACATTATCTCAGTATACTTTAATAGCAAAAAAAAAAAAAACAGGTTACAGGTTTAACACAGGCCTGAAGAAGTAAACGAGGTTKTGCAATAATTCAGATGGAATATCCAAACTGACAAGATATGATCTACTGTAAAACCTGTTTTAGCTGTGAAAACACTAAAAGCAAGATTGATAGAAGTGGCAAATGCCTCAGGATGATACTGTGCTGTCACAGAACTGAATCTAAAACCACTTGTAAAGTAAAACTAWACCTGAACAAATATTGTTAAACTATCTTCTCCATCTTCAACTTATCCTTAGTCAGGTCGCAAGACATCCCTCTCCCCAGCGACACTTTCCAGCTCATCCTGAGGGGACTCCGAGGCGTTCCCAGGCCAGAGAGGATACATAAACTTATTTTGTTTTATGAAATACTTCAAAACATACCATTCAGTGCATCAGTAGTCTCCATATATACATTTAGCACACTGGAAAAAGACCCCAATGGATCTGGTAGCCTCTGAAGTTCACTCCTTCAGGATGGTGTCCAAGTGGACCTTCCCAGTCAACGCCATATTCCAGGTCAACCTTAATAAAAAATAAAATCAACGAAAAATAAATTATGAAATCACATCAACTACTTTGTAACATTTAATAAAATAATTAANAAAAATAAATTATGAAATCACATCAACTACTTTGTAACATTTAATAAAATAATTAAAAACCTGGGATGGGTCTTGGCCTTCACGTTGGTTTTGAGACCACAGCTGTTGTGGAGACCTATTCCTCTCTGTGCGGAGACGATGGTGGTTCCAGCCTTCCTTAAAGAAGTAAAGGTGTCTGTTTAGCTGTGGTAAGAAGGTCCAGTGTAGAGCATATAGATGCACCTCATTGTCAGGKTTAAGCAAGGCTTCTGATTCCAGGTTGTAGAAAGTTGTGTAGAATAGATCAACTACTCTGCCAAAGACATCTCTCCACAGTCATTCAATCCTGGATTTAGAGGGAAAAACAATACATATTCTGACAAATCAGTTTCAATAAAAAAAAATAAAATGACAGTGAAATTAAAAGGTTACAAAATGAAATGAAATTACTTAAAACCCTAAGTTGTCATTTGCATTCTTACAAAACGTGATGTTTAGGTTTCACTAAAGCTTAAACACATCTGGGGAGGACTTTATATGTGCAAAAATACATGTTGGATTAGTTTTACAGAGAATTAAAATATGCAAGAAGTTTGTAGTAAGTGAATACCTCTGGTTATGTGTGCTTCGTCCAGTGAGATGTGAATTCCTGTCTGGGCCTCTTCTGGACACCATGAAATGTACAACCTGAATGTTTTCCCCTCCTTTATCAGATCTGACACGTGATGGGATTCCATACTCATTTACTGCTTGAAGGAAGTTTTCAAACACAGTCTGTGTAAATGTTAGCAGTTTTTCCTGCTGATAAATTACATGCCTCAGTCACAACTTTTAATTCAGCTACTTGAGCTGATGCTGGTTGTTTAATGACCTCTGACCTCAACACAACAAACTTTCCTTGACATTCTGACACCACAGCAAAATAGGCAATGAGCTCACCATTGTCAGATTTATGAGAGTGCCCGTCAGTAAACAATGTCATGTCAGCTCCCTCTAGTGGGTCTTGAAAAACGTTGTCATGGGTTTTCATTTCCTGGTCTGTCCACTCTGCACAAATGTGGTCCTGGTTTGTCATCATCTGAGAAGCAATATTCACTYCCTCAGCTGTGAAATGAATATGTGGTTTGTCCAGCAMTCTCTTCACACTTTCTGCCTTGTTCAATGAAAATGTGAACGCCTGGGAGTCTATGAATGCTTTTACATCATGAGAAGTGTGAATTATCACCTGATTTGCCATGGTAATGTGGGATGTTTTCACAACAGCTTTCATAATGGCTTCAACATGTCTAACACAAGGTGGATGACCCCTTTCACTGTGATCCAGTTTTGAACTGTATTACATCAAGATCCTCCTGTTGTGTTCCAGCCTTTTCTGATACAATACTGCATTCACAAATCCTGCCTGTTCAGGTACATCTAAATGAAATGGCTGTGAATAATCAGGTTTCTGCAACACATATGCTCCTGCCAAACTCTGCTTCACCTGAACAAAAGCGCTGTCTCCTTCCTCTGTCCACTTTAAAGGAGCTGAGTACTTCCTGCAACATGCAGCTGAAATCAACTCCCTCAGTGGAGCCACTTTACTGCTGAACTCTGGAACAAAAGATCTACTGTAATTCACCAGCCCCAAAAATTTCATCATATCTCTGACTGTTTTAAGGGCTCGACACACGGGCAGCGACAAACTACAGCGATTAACGGCTGTCATTGCAGCCAGTGTGAAACCCGACACACGGGACATAATAGTGATCGCAGCGTTGCGAATCGCGCTCCCAGGTCGCTTGTCTTCATAAAATTTGATTGGTTCTTTACTCTGAAGGCAGGTGTGCATTACGAACGTGTAAACTAAACAAATCTTGCGATGCTAATGATATTGAAAAACAAACACACTCAAGATACAGTTTTATGAGGAAAGACTTACCATAAACTTCACCCTGGTACCAATAAATTCCCACAAAGCTTTTTAGTAATCACTTGGTGAAAGTGTTAGCTAACGGCAGTGTGTAGCATACTCTCCTCTCATTGGTCAGTCAATGAAACCCTCACTGATTGGTTGTACGCTAAGCGACAGCGACAAAAGTTGAACATTTTTCAACTTTCATATGTCGTGTCGCATGCTCGCGTGTGCACGTGTATGTGTACGAGCGCAAAATTTCACATGCACTATTTTCGCCGGTCGCTTAGCTGGAGGAGGGCAAGCGATTGTCGCCTCACCGCACAGGCTCCATAGGAAATGAATGGAGAGCGAGCGACGTTGTCTCCCGTGTGTCGAGCCCATTAGGCTTCGAGTAACTGAGAATAGAAGACTTCTGTTTTTCTGTCATTTGAAATCCTTCACCTGACACTACTCTCCCCAAGAAGGTGACACTTTCACGACCAATTTGCAGCTTTTGTCTGGAAACTTTAAAACCACAACTCGCCAGATGTCTTAGAACCATGTCTGTCACTTTTAATACTGTATGCTGTCACTACTCTCTTCTGCAATCAAAATGTCATCCACATACATCAACAGTAACGTCGTTGGAGGCAGAGTCAGCTCCTGTAGTTTTTGTCTCAGAATGTGGTTAAATATAGATGGTGAATCTACAAACCCCTGTGGTAGTCTAGTGAACTGATATTGTTGTGACTTGAATGTAAATGCAAAAATGCTCTGACTCTCACTGTGCAGTGGCACTGAAAAATATGCATTGCTCAAATCTATGCAACTGAAAAACCTATGTTCAGGTTTTATTGCATTTAACATTACCTAAGGATTTGGTGTTTCATAACATGAAGTTTCCACTACTTTATTTATTGGTCTCAAATCCTGCACGAGACGATACTCAATCTTGTTTGCTTTTGGCACTGGACAGATGGCCGTGTTCCACGGAGACGAAGTTGGTACCAAGACGCCATTTTCTATCAACCCCATGATAATTTTTTCACACCCTCTAACCTGTTCATGCCTCAAACGATATTGCGGATGATAAATAGGAACGGTACCTGGCTTCAAAACTATTTTACAGGGTCCACGTCCAGCATCCCCACATCTGTGCTGTTCTTTGTCCATAATGTCACAGGTAATTGCTCCACCATTTTTGCTGCTTTTGGATGGTCCAGATTCTCTTTCTCATGTGTCCTAACAACCCACTTTTTCTCAGGAATAAGAGATGTGACTGAAGTGTGTTTTATTCTGTATATGTCTGTTGAATGTGAATAACGCAAATCTGTGTTAATGTCCACCCAGTCATCTAGCATGAGGCAAGRYYTGATTAAAGGTCCCAATGACTTTCCCTCACAGCCTACAGCCACCTTCAAGGCAACATGAGGTGCAGAACCAGAATCCAACACACACAGCTCTTTCAGTGGTGATGACAGCTTTACTTCTGTTGCAACTCCATCTGGTGCCACAAAAATATCCCCCAGTTCTACCAACGGGTTTTCACCAGTGTCATCACAATGTCTCTGAAGTTCAGTCCACAAAATGTCATACGTTTCATCATCYGTCAGGGCACAGTTCATCGTGCAGTTCAGAGCATCAGCAGGCGAGTCATAATGTCTGAGAGAGCTTATCCATGGACCCCAGCTGGACATCATTGTCCACAACGGCATGGCTTTACATTCAGGAATCAATCCCCACCATATAATCGTGCTTTTTCTCCGGTGCCTCTTCAGATGCCTCCAGCAACATCTGAGCTAATGTATCCCTGGCTGTAGAACACACCTACATCTGTCCATCCAGGAATGAAATTTCAATCCGGTCTGGGCATAGCAGCAGACCCACATTCTGCTCACACAGGATATCTCTCCCCAGGAGATWGACTGGACAGTTTTTTGAGACCAGAAACCTGTGGTAAAAATGGAGATTGTTCCACTGGCAGGGCACAAACTCAGACAAAGKCCACTCTTCAGATTTTCCAGAAAAGCCAGCAACTCAGATCGCAATATCAGATAACGGCAGTGGCTCATTAACCGTACTGTATTTTGCTCCAGTATCCACAAGACACATCACCTCTCGACCGCAGACTGTAAGTTTTGTCATAGGGTCAAGATTCTTGTGGGCCCCCATCGCTGGCTCCTGGCACCCCTATTGCATCTGAAAACCACCCCTCTGTGCTGCCCCCCAGGACTGCTGACCCATATATGTTGCCGGTGCTCTTTGTGGAAATGGTAGTAATGGATAATATTGAGGTGCAAATGCTGGACCTGCCCCCTGCTGTATGGGCACCCCAAACTTTGTCGGGCATTCATTAGCCCAGTGACCCATCAGTCCACATAAGAAACATGCTTCAGGTTTGTAACCCTTTTTGAAAAATCTACCTCTACGACCCACTCATGCCCCTACCTCTGACAGGTGGGTATTGGTGACGATGATAATTTTGAGGATGACTATTGTTCGGCCCCCCTGCTCCCTGCATCAACAACTCCTGCTGCGGCATTTCCACTAATTGAGGCATCTGAACTGCACTTTTTTCTTTTGTCTGGTTCACTTTATCTCTTAGATCTTTTAGTTTAGCTTTAGCTAACTGTGCCCCCAAGGACTTCATTTCTTGTTGCTCAACCTGTTTGTCCTTTACCTGTTTGTCAATAAAATGGACCACATGATCACTCCATAAGTCATAATCTAACCTGTCTAACCCCACAACACACTCCAGCTGTTTTCTGACCTGATAAGTCTGGGACTTTAACACTGCCGACTTGAACATCACCCAGCTAGGCCTATCATAAACTGGATCCACACCAATTTTAGAACCCCATAATTCTCTGACCCTAGCCAGATACACTGATCCTCTTTCACCCTCTAGTGGTGTGATGTTGTTCAACTCTGACTCCATGTTAACTGGGAAACTCTCTCTGATCCTAGGCCACAATGCATACACACACCTTTCTAAAGGTGTGTCATCTGGAACACCAAAAGAAGCAACAGCTCCTTYGAGCTCAGTTAGCGCACCCCAGCTTATGCATGCACAATACATACATCTGAAATCACCCATCGTCGGAACTATACCAGAACACGCCTCTAAAAAGGCCTTAATCCACAATGACCCTCCAGCACTCAAATCAGGTAATTTTTGTTTAATCAGCTGTGTGTCCTGCATAGAAAATGGTTTGTAAGTGACAATGTTATGACCTGCCTCATTGGACTAAGTAACAAKTGGAAACATTCCCACCCACGGTTTCTGATCCATACAAGAATGAATATTTGACCTAACCTGCCTGTTATCTCTGTGATGTGGCCACTGTTTGTCTGTTATGCTGTGACCTATTACCCTGCATTGTTGAATCTAGTCTCATAACATGCATCTGCCCATCTCCCTGCAAGCATCCACCAGATGGCGGTGGCCCATCGTCCCACCGCTCTGAGGCCTCTCTGCCTGCCACATCATCCTGCAAAACCTYCTTTCTGTTGTGCTTTTGTGGATTTACAAATTCACTAATTGCAGTTTTTACACCATTTTCATCTTCCTGTGGACATAATTCAAGCAATCCTTTAACGACTGCATAAGCAACATCTTGCGGCCATTTACCTTTCACTATCGTGGTCCCAGTGTTGCGTGATGATTTGCTCGTGCCCTCTCCTGGGTCATCCTCAAACAAAGGCATCTGTTTCTCAGCAGTCGCTAACATGGTCACTACTTCCTTGTATGGACCTCTGCTGTCAGTCTTTTCTTTTTTCTGCTCCGTCTCAGTCACATCTGCTGCCACCTGGTGATTCTGTTTTGTCTCAGAGGCTCCTGCATGAGAGCGCCCCTCGTCAGCTGCATCACAATGTATAGTCTGAGTGTCTGTGAGATCTTTGTCAGATGTCAAGGTCTTGTTTTCACCCTCTTTGCTGGAGGTCAGAACGTCTGCCATTATCCTAAACATGCGCCGCCAATATTTATAATTTTTTTCCTTTTCTGGAGCTATCTTAGCCGTAATACTGTTTTGGTTTCATCTGTTTTTATGCTCTGTTGCCAAGAACGCTCTAATTTACAAACAATCCTCTGAACAGCTGCAGGGGTGGGTGCTGCTAACTCTAACTGCGAAAAATCACCCTCAGCTAACAACACTTTGCACATCTGCACAAAATCATCTTTCTCTGTCCTCACATGTTTAGACTCCACATCTTCAAGGTAAATCTGAAAAGTACGATACAAGATCACCCCCAAAGAACCCTCCTGAAAAGTATTCAAGTCCTCTWTAAATTTATCAGACATTTTTATCAATGTATTCACGTAACCCGAGCACAGGAAGTCTGGCGCAATGCCCAGCAGTTGGCAACCCTGAGATAGACAACTCTAGTAGCAGTCTACGTCAGCACCCCCTGCTGTTGAACAATCTCCTAGCCTGGTTACCCTAAACTAACAAAAAAAAACCCCAAAACTTGCTATAACCACCCACAGATGTCCCACACCTCCACTAGCGGTCACTTTTGTGTCAGACTTCTTAAGAGTACTTTTACTCTAAATTAATACATGACACAGCCGTGTGAATAAACACCTGCTGAGCGGAGAACCAGCCCAGACATTTACACACACACACACACATCACACGAGAGGAAAAGAAAGATTTTGATTCCTGGATTTTTCCCAATGACGCATGAATCACACACCTATAAAAAGGATTTATCTACTTTATTTTATTTACTACCATGCGTAAAACCCACCAGGCAATCTGACCTCACAAATCATGGATTTTTCTTTTAGTTAGGCCCTTAAATAGATCTATTATTGTATGACATTATATCACAGCAAATCGATATGTTAAAA